GTGCTGGAGTTGGGATCAGTTACGGTGATTCATGTATTTGAGGAATTTGGAGACTAGGAGTTCTCAGAAGTATATTGTTTCGGGTTGCGGCCTGTTTGATGTGAGTATTTTATTTTAACTCAGTGGAGGCACTAGTTGCGTTAATTATTTGTGATAGCTGCGCGCTATAAGTGTGCATATATGTGAGGTTTGAGATAATGTGCAAGCATCAGGGCAAGTATTCATACTCGAAAGAATGCTTAGGCTATGATATGCCTAGAGTTGACTGTTAAGCATAAAGCTATAACGTTTCGCATGCTCGTACCTTTGTTGAAAACTATCTGGGCTACATTTGAGGTTACAAAGAGGCTAATTCCCCTGAATAAATGGGGTAGTTACTATTTCTACGTTAAATTGCCGATTTGAAGTGTGATAGCAGACTTTGCACATGCTTACACTATGGCGTGTTATTTATAGCAGTCCAGGAGCATGAGAATCTTATTTCATTATCATATACAAGTATAATTGTTTAATTTCTCCTGTATGATATGCTGGGACTGGAGGCCTGTGACCATGCCGGACGATTCATATTATTGGCACGTGAGTCGTCCGTGCCGTGTGTGGGAATTTTATTTTTATGATAATTTATCTGATTCATTAATTTCCTTCATCTACAATTGTGCACATGCGCCTACAGTTATCCTCTTTACGAAATTTGAGGTGTTAGTTGTAACATTGCGGTTGTGGTGGTACTTGTTGAACTTGCAATACAGTTCTCTTCCTTGAGACATCTCCCATATTCGGGTACACAGATTGCGCAGTTGTGGCTTGGGTTATATTTATGTGGCGTGTATGTTGGATAGTTGTGATTAATAATATAAGGTCATTGGACGTAGAGTGGGTACTATCAGGTTTGATTACAGTAGATTTGGGAGGATAATATTGAAAGTCGACTTTGAAAGTGATTATGGTTCTGGTTGGGGCGAGAGAGCTCCATGACTTGTCTGATAAGGGATCATGAGATTTCTGCATGTTTCTTTTATTATCAGCAGTGTACGAAGATTTTGGAATGAGGTTTGTCTTAATATGAGGTTTAATACTTGTACTTGGTTGGTTTGAAGTAATTACTGTGATTGTGATCGGGGATGGTGCTGCGAGCATGTGAGTTGTGTAATATGTAATGTGATTATATCTGGAGTTATGGCTATGGCTTGATAAAACTTGTTCAGACTTATACAGTGTATAAATGTAAGATTCGTGTCTTGAAAGAAATTCTAAAGTTTGGGAATTGAATTCCAAGATTTTTGGGCTAAGGTTAAATTAAGGATTTTCAGTTATATTGTGTTGTCAGGCCTATATGGAATATGGTGACGTGAGATCACCCCCGGGTATGTGCGTGGTAAGGTGGAATGGAGATTTGAAGGTTAAGAACAACTCTTGGCACGTTCGAGGACGAACACATGTTTAAGTGGGGAAGAATGTAACGACCTGACCGGTCGTTTTATGTATCACAACTTCGTTTCCCCATTTACTGCTCAATTTATGCTTTACATTTGTTATGTGACTTGCCGGGGGAAATTAGTTCGGGTCCGGTGAGGTTTTTGAATGATTTGGAACACCTAGTTCCAAGGTTTCGAAATTTAGTTGAAAAGGTTTACCATATGTTGACGTATGTGTAGTGACCCAGAGAATATTTGCTAAGGAAATTAAGGTTGTGTGGTGTCGAGGTAGATCAATTAGTACAAAGGTTGCTCGGACTTTTTGGGTTGAACAATGCACCGGGAAGTAAAGAAAAATTTTGGCAGAAAAACACGTTTCTGCGGTCCATTATGCGACCGCATAATCACTCTGCGGGACGCATAATGACCGCAGAAGTGAGGCAGAAGAGGGCTAGTTTGGATGAAATCTGCGGTTGACTATGCGACCGCATAACTGTTCTGCGGTCACTATGCGATCGCATAATAGGTATGCGGGTCGTATAGTGACCGCATACACAGACAGATGTTTGCCAGTATTGGACACCGATTATGCGACCAATATGCGGTCCGCATAACCATTATGCGATCGCAGAACCTGTTCCGGAGCTTCATTTTTCTGGTTTTATAAACCCGACCCCATTCTTATAAAATACTATTGGGGGTCATTTTGAAGGGTTTCATCTGATATTTTAGAGAGATGTGAGAGTATTTTAGAGAGAGAAAGTGAAGACTTAGTCATTTATTTGTCAATTCTTGTTCAAGGTTTGAAGATTTCACAAGGATCTTGCTAGGGCTTCAAAGAGGTAAGAATTTCTTTCCTCAATTCTTCAATTTCGGGTTTGGAGTAAAAATAGGTTATTAATAGTATGATTCTTGGGTGTAAGAGTATTATGTTTGCATACCAATAAGGTTGTGGAAAGATTGTTAAGTTCAAATGGGTAAGGACTGGGTTGAAAATGGTAGAAATTTTCATAGACTTTAATTGAAGATTTGAGGGTCGAGTTAGTGTCGGATTTTGATGAAATTTGTATGGTTGGACTCGTGGTTGGATGAGCGTTCATATTCTGTAATTTTTATCAGGTTCCGATACGTGGGCCCCACAGACAATTTTTGAGTTAATTTAGGATTTTATTGGAAAATTTAGTATCTCCTTATGGAATTAATTACAATAATTGATATTTACTGAATCGAATTAATTGTGGCTAGATACGAGGCTTTCGGAGACCAATTCTCGTGAAAAGGGTATAGCGGAATAAAGAATTACATGGTTTGAGGTAAGTAACAGTTTTAAATCTTGTCATGAGGGTATGAAACCCCGGATTTTCGTATCATGTGATTATTTTGTAGGTGATGCACATGCTAGGTAATGGGAGTGTGGGCGTGCACCGAGGGGATTGTGACTTGCTCCGTCCCGTGGAAACTATAAAGTTGAATAACTTGTTAATAATTATGTGTTCTCTATGTGTTGTGGAAATTTGACTATGAGTCATGTTAAAAACCATGTTTAAGCTATATGTTGGTATTGTTGGGACCCACAGAGGTCGTGTACATGTTGAATTATTTTCTTAAATTATTATTTTGTACTCAGTCATAGTTACTTGATTATTTTGTCTCAGTCTCTATTGTTCATTATTGATGTGTCATATCATTGTTGTTTGGACTGATTTCATGATTGTTTAGAGCCCTAGAGACTGGAGAGCTTTATGACCGAGTGAGGCCGAGGGCCTGATTATGAGATATTATACTATAGCACGTGAGTTGGCCGTGGAAATCCTTTTATTAATACTATAGCACGTGAGTTGGCCGTGCAAATCCTTTCATTATACTATAGCACGTGAGTTGGCCATGCAAATCCTTTTATTATACTATAGCACGTGAGTTGGCAGTGCAGATCCTTTTATTATACTATAGCACGTGAGTTGGCCGTGCAGATCCTTATATTATACTATAGCACATGAGTTGGCCGTGCAGATCCTTATATTATACTATAACACGTGAGTTGGCCGTGTGGATCCAGATATTTATATTATGGCACGTGAGTTGTCCGTGCAGATTATAGCGCTTGGGCTATAGGAGCCCCTCCGGAGTCTGTACACCCCCAGTGAGCGCGGGTACCCATTGAGTGTGAGTGCTGAGGGCTGGGAGCCTAGTGAGTAATTGTTGTCCTGAGAGGCTGTACTTGCTTTTCATTTGTTGTTGCACTTAGTTGCTATCTATCATTGCTGTGAAATTTTCTGAAAGATTTATATCCGGATTACCTGAACTTGAACTGTATAAAACTGATTTGGCTTAAACTTTTGGAATTGAAAGCATGCCTACTCTCTGTTGGAATTACTGAAAATGAACTGTAACTGTGTAGCTCGTCATTATCTTCAGTTCCTTATTTATTATTGTTATTTGCTGAGTTGGTTGTACTCATACTATACCCTGCACTTTGTGTGCAGATCCATGTGTTCCCGATCATAGCAGGTGTTGATTCTCTCGCACAGCTGATTTTACGGAGATTCTGAGGTAGCTGCCATATTTTGCAGACCTTGCCTCTCCTTTCCTATCTCCTTATTTACAGTATTTGGTCTCAGACTGTTATGGACCGTATTTTCCAGACTTGTATTCATATTAGATGCTCATGTACTTAGTGACACCAGGTTTTGGGAGTGGTTGTATCGGTAATTGTAAGATTTGTGGATTTTATTAAAATATTATATTTTCAAACTTAAGAGAAATTGCGGTTTATTGAGATTTTCGGCTTGCCTATTATTGAGATAGGCACCATCACGATAGATTAGGATTTTGGGTCGTGACACCTTTTCTGTATTGGCAGTTGATAAGAATCAAGGTAGGGCTATGAACTCAATTGAAAGGTACTAGGAGTTCAGATTTGTCCCTTACTTTCTCCTTTAATTGATTAATTTTATCTCTAAGCTCCTTGAGTTTTTATGAACATTATAGGATGTGTGTATTTGGGAGCTCAAACATTTAATTTGGACTATCAATCTGCCATCGGCAAGAACATCGTGCAGCACCATTTGCGTTATATTTTTGATTTTGTGTTTGACCAGGTAAATTAGTTCATCCCATAATCACATCTACACATCTTAGGAAAGTCTTTAACTTAGCCTATGATGGATTTTGTAGTCCACAATCCTGGTCCAATTAAGTTGCACAGTTTTACCTAAAGGATTAGATTATGTGCGTGTTTGGCCCGAGTATTGGACAGATGTGACACTACTCATATGGTACATCAAGATTGTCCATTTTTCTTAACAGATAAACCAAAATATGTAAATAGCAGTCTCTTTGGAGTTGGCTTAAACTGTGTGTGTTTATGCACACATGTTTCATGGTTAACGCGGTACAACAACAAACTTCTATTATAGTTTTAAGCTTTAAGAACTTCTGATTTCACAACATTGTCTCTATGATGTGCACTACTTTCCTTTTGCTATTGTTTTATTGCTTTCTCCTTTCTTTATTAATTTCATTTGGTTTACTGCACCAGGTCATGTGCATGATGCAGTACAAAGGAGTACACATTCCTGAATTGAACTGCAAATTTCTGATGCTAGAGTTACATATGGATAAATCTGATTTACATGGAGTAACTCCTTTTCCGAGCTTCACCTTATGTGGAGACACCCAACATAAACATGAAAACTACGCTTATAACTTTCTGTAACTTTCATTTTATGGCACCCTCCCCCCTCACCTTATGTGGAAGGATTAGAAAGAGTAACAATTCAATAGTAGTTTTGCAGTCTTCTATTTCTCTGTTGAGTAACATTTTTGTAGCACATCTGTATCTTCTATTTTTCTTACAAACACAAACTCATTCGTTGCCGACAACATCATAAATTTGTTCATGTTGGGCCCGAGTTTTTGCCCGGGCTACCCCACTAGTATAATCTATAAACCAGTGACGTGGCATATGTCTTTGAACATGGATGGAATTTATCTAATTTCTCGATATTTTGAGCTTTTCCTCCTATTATTAGGGTTCAATTACCCGAAAAGGTGCGGCATCCAAAATCTCCCTAACCCTCTCATACCACGTCGTTTCGCACTACAACGTTTCACGCCAGAAATTCCATCGCTTCCAAGAAAATGAATAAACGAAGCAGATTCAATTACAATGTCACTCCATTGTCTCCATCACCTTCTTAATAAGCAACTCTCAGTATCTAATTTCTGATAATTCGCATGTCTCAAACTCGAGTACACGTTGATGATTCCAAATCCCTTACTGTACAATGGGCAGGGGCGGATCTAGCGCTATGGATACGGGTTCAATTGAACCCATAACTTTCGACAAAATCCAGAAATATACTGTGCAAAATTACTGAAATATGATCATATATTAGTGTTTGAACCCATAGACTAAATGAGGCTATGGGTTTAGTGGTAAAACTGATGGACAAAGTTCCGCTTATTGCAGGGAAGACTGGAGTTCAAATCTCTGTGTACCCAACTTTTATTGCAATTTTATTTGAGTTACTGTTTGACTTCTTTGTTAGTTATGGGCTTTTTCTTCCCTTCCCATTTAAGAGTTTCGTTTCTTATCCTTAAAAGATGAGGACCCACCTAATTAATTTTATTCTTTGATGTGTACTTCATTAACTTGTGGGGCTTTATTATAATTATAAAAAAGTTGGTCCTCACAAAACTTTAAGTGATCAAAACCTTCCACTTTTCAGAAGGTTCATCGGTTCCCAAATTTTGAAAGCTAGGGTTTCAAAAGAATCAAAGCAAAGGCTCTTCTTCAGTTCTTCTTGGACATAAACTGCAATCAATCCTCTTCTTTAGTTTTGCTGGTATGCCTCTATTGCTCTTTCTCAATAATAATGCAATAATATTTATTAATTATAAGTTACAAGATTTGCTCCTGCTGTTCTTGGTTCTTGCATTTTGGTTCCATATAAGAAACATGTCAAATGTTTTACTCTATTACTTCACTAATTAAAGACTTTCTTTTGGATTCATTTATTTTAAACTCATGTTTAGCTCACATTTGTGAATTGTAGTGATAAACTGCTATGATTTTTTTTGTGCTTCAACATTTGAGTTTTAAGGATAAATTTAACTTTTTATATCATATTAATTACTAGCCAATCCTTTCCTAAACTAATCTTACTTTTCTTTTGGACGACTCTCTAAGAATTTGAAACATAAAGTTCATGAGTACACATGCTATGACAATTAGGCCTAGGGAATAACTCCATTCTTGTTGTGCTGAAGAAATTAGATATTGTATCATATTAACTCCAAATTCATAAGTACTTAAGTTGTTGAAATATCGATTTGGTTAGATTAAGTTTCAATTACACCTTGAAGTGCAATTTATTTTTTTGTGATTTTTAGGATCTTTTTAGTGAGGGTGGATATGATCACGAAATTTTTCAAGGCTATTCCAACTCCTCAAAGTTCTGGTTCTGGTTCTAGTCCTCCTACGCCGAGTTCTTCTCCAAGTCCAATTATTCATGAAATATCAATCCTTCGGCAGTATCAAACAAAGAGAAAATATTGAATTTGAATCTTGAACCTGATCCCGTAGAAAGAAAGCAAATTTCAGAGTATCCTCCGAATTTACGTGACCGAGTGAAGAGATATTATATTCAACAAGGACCTTGTCAACCTCGTAATTGTAGTTTTCCAAAAAGAGATTTTGGTGGATTTATGCGTCAATTTAACCTTGAATGGTTTAACACTTCATACTCTGGATGGTTAGAATATAATGTTAAAGTTGATGCAGCATTCTGCTTATGTTGTTACTTGTTTATAAATGAGCATGGAGGACATGGAAAAGTTGGGAATTCTTTCACAAAGAGTGGTTTTAAAGCTTGGAATAAATCTACAGAAAGGCTTAACGCATATATTGGAGTGGTGAATAGTCTTCACAATCGGTGTTTTAAGATGATGAGAGATTTAATTAATCAAGAACAATCAATCCTAACATCTTTTGACAAGCAGTCTTAAAAAATTAAAAGTGATTATCGAGTTCGGTTGAATGCTTCGATTGATGTGGCAAGATTTCTTTTAAAACAAGGAATGTCTTTCCGGGGCCACAATGAAGGTGAAACTTCTACTAAATGAGGAAACTTTGTAGAACTCTTACAATGGTATGCAGATAGGGATGATTTAGTGAAAAAAGTTGTGCTACAAAGTGCTCCATAAAATAACATGATGATTGCTCCAAATATCCAAAAAGACATCGTGAATGCTTGTGTGAAAGAATAATTAAAGCAATAGTTGAAGATTTAAATGGAGATTATTTTGGAATTTTGGTTGATGAATCTAAGGACGTCTCTCATAAGGAACAAATGGCTCTTGTTCTGCGGTATGTCAACAAAGAGGGAAAACTTATTGAGCGATTCCTTTGTATTGATCATGTTAAAAAAACAACTTCATCGTCATTACAAAAAGCAATCTATGATTTGCTTTTAGAGCACTCATTGAGTCCATCTCAAATACGGGGACAAGGTTATGATGGAGCTAGTAACATGCAAGGAGAAATCAATGGTCTTAAAACTTTAATTCTGAAAGATAATCCGTCTGCATATTGTATACATTGCTTTGCCCATCAATTGCAATTGACTCTTGTAGCCGTTGCAAAACAAATTGTGATGTAGATCAATTTTTTTATATTTTTGCTAATGTCTTGAATATTGTTGGAAGTTCTTTTAAGCGTAGGGATATGCTACGAGAAGACCAGACAAAAAAACTAGAGGAGCTACAAGTGCTTGGTGAAGTTCATACAGGAAATGGACTAAATCAAGAACATGGACTCCAAAGGTCAGGTGATACCTGATGGGGTTCTCATTTTAAGACAGTGCGTAACTTTATTGCATTATTCTCATCAATCATTAATGTACTTGAGTTTCTTGCAAGTGAGGGTGCAAATTATCTTGAGAGATCAGTGGCAAAAAGTCTAGTGAATGACATAAGATCTTTTGAGTTTGTGCATATGATGCATTTGATGTTAAAATTATTAGCAATCACAAATGATTTGAATATAGCTTTGCAAAGAAAAGATCAGAATATTGTAAATGCTATGAAGCTTGTTGGTTTCGCCAAGAGGTAATTGCAAGTGATAAGAGAATCTAAATGAGAATCTTTGATAGATGATGCCTCTTCATTTTGTTCCAAGCATGATATTGTGATCCCTGAAATGGATAAGAACTATCATCTTGGAAAGTCAAAGCGTAGGAGTTCAAGTGTTACATATTCTCATCATTTGCGTGTCGAAGTTTTTAATATTGTTATTGATTTGCAACTTTCAGAGCTTAACAATCGTTTTGATGCGGTGAATAGTAATCTACTTCTTGGTATGACTAGTTTGAGTCCGGATAATTCTTTTGCAAATTGTGATAAAGACAGAATTATGAAACTTGCTACACTTTATCCTCATGAGTTTAGTGGTTCAAAGCTTGAAGATCTCAGTTACGAGCTTGACAACTATATTCTCTTTGTGAAAGAAGACAATGATTTCTCTAACTTGAAAGGACTTGGAGATCTTTCAGAAACACTAGTTGAAATAGATTTGTACAAGACTATATTGCATGTCGCTACTGCAACAGTAGAAAGAGCTTTTTCTTTAATGAAGTATATCAAAAATGACTTGCGTAGCAGAATTGGTGATGAATTTTTGAATGACTGTTTAGTTTGTTATATAGAAGATGAAGTATTTGAGAGTGTACCTAATGATGCGATTATTGATCGTGTTCAAAACATGACAACCCATCGGGTACAATTGTAATGGTGATATTTATTGAATATATATTATGTTAGATGGTTCGGTACTTGTTACATATATATTAAATATCATTGTTCGTATTTCATTCGGTTATTATTGTATAGTACCTTGAGGTATGTTCCAGAGTCTAAATCTTGAACCCATAAAGTTAAATTCCTGGATCCGCCTCTGACAATGGGGTAACTTTGCATACCGAGACGTTTCACTCCAAAAAATCCAGCGCTTGGTGCTTTGTTCTATCAATCAGATGATGGCCTTGGTGCTTTTTCTATCAATCCTGCTGGCAAATAGTTCAGAAGGATGTTAATGGGTTTGTAGTGGCTTTCTTTGACGGAGTAGCTATCTCTAGGCTTATCTTGCACACATGCTTGGTGATGATACCAACTTCTAATCCCTTATGATTTTTTTTTAAAATTTTCTTGGTTTATATAAATGATGATAATTGAAATTCATTAATTAACCTAAACCAACTCATGTTTGCACCTTTTGCAAAAATATTGCTTTTGTCTACTTCACTTATATTGGTTATCCTCATCTTTGTGTTAAAGTCGTCGGAGCGACAAGCTGTCTGGAGCATGGGGATTCTCTTCCTTCGTGTCCCTTTCTTTTGGCCTTCACATTGTTAGTGTGGGATTTATGTTTTAAAAAAAAAAAGTGTGAACACAAAACTTCTTTGAATAGCATTTGCAATTGGTATTTGCAACATTATACATTCTATAACTATATATATTGAAAGTACCATAATTTTCAGTTTGTATGCATTGCCATGTTCAACCGAGATTGAAAATGTGTATGGTCAGTCAATATTACAAAATTTAACACCTGTGTGCTTATCTGTTCATTGTTTTCAATTATATTGGAGAGGTTAAGAACTTGAATCTTGATATTTGCAGGCTATTTGCTCTATATGTGCCATAGTGACCAATTGCCAGTGTTGATCAGTTTATTGTGTCATTGCTTCATACTGATGACTCATCTGTGCAATGGATATTGGACTGTTAAAATGGTTGTACTTCCTATTTTAAATGGTTTCTGTCTCCATCCAAATAATAGGGAAGAAAGCATGTTTAGAAAAAAGGTGAGCAACTATATTTTGATGGATGTAGTCATTCATGGGTTTAAAGTGGCTGGTGTTCCTCGAGGAAAATTGATGAATAAGACGGAATAGTTCATCACATATCATCAAAAAGGCCATATTTCTATTGTTTAAGATGGACTTATTATTTTCTTTTTGCAGGACACGAGGTCTACAACTTATGATTGCTGAATCCAAAATCTATTTGGAGGTTTGAGATTTTTCTGCGGCTTCCCTTGATTGGATATTGTATATTCCTGCTTGATCCTAACTTTAATTTCTTTCTCTCAATAGCCTGCTGCAACACTTTGGAAGAACAAGGAAGGTGAGAGGGCTCTCTAGCACTTCTATTTAAGTAAAGCCTATTTCTAAGCACTTCAATGAAAATTTCAGCATTTCTTTCGCTCTCTCTGTAAAAAAGAAACTTCAATAGCATTTCTTTCGCTCTCTCTGTTTGCCATTCATCTTCAATTTTGCCTTAGCTAAGTACGATTACATAAATGTATATATGAAATATGTGAATTGATCAATTTTCAGATAATTCAGAGGCTTTCTCAGTTAGGTTGTTAGGGATATCAGGAAAGTTTTGTTGGGGAACTTTTATTTTGGCTGAAGATTGAAGAGGGAGGTTTTGGAAAAAGTAATAGCACACAAGCTGTGGAAGAATAGTACAGGCAGATGCCGATATTCACCCATTCATATATCACTGCTTCAATTGTCACCACCATCGGTTGTTCTCTTGAGGTATGCTACATATTAAGGAAAAGCATTAGATTATCAAGATTGAATCTTTATATAAAGCAGGGACAATAAGTGCTGACATGGCACATCTCTTTGCTTAGGAATCATATTTATCCTTTTTATCATTTTTGTTTTTGCTTATTTTCCACAAATAAAAAACTAAAAAGTTGCTTCTTATAATCCTGCTCAAAACACCTCCATCTTAAACGCCTAACGGATATCTCTTTTAGCACCGATTACACACTATTGACTTGCTCCATACAAATCTTAAACAATCAATCTTCATGGGTCGGTGTCGAAAACTGCACAATTTCCTGCTCTATCAGCTAGGTGTGGGCATCGGTCGGTTCGGTTCGGTTTTCATGAAATTCAGTTCGTTTTTTTTCGGTTTTCGATTTTATATTTGTTGCACCAATAATCGAACCAAAATTAGTTCGGTTATTTCGGTTTTTACTAATTCGGTTCGGTCGATTTTCGGTTTGATTCAGTCTGTTTGGATATATAAAAAAAGAAATAAGAAAAAGAAAATTCAACAGTGGATTAGCACCACATTTTTCACCAAAACAAAATCAAGAGCAAGTAAGCAACTAAGAAATTAGTTGCACTCAATCCGTAATTCCTTATGCATTATTCATTCTGAAAACAAGTTATTAACTCAATCCTTTGAATTATGTCTCTTTTACCTCCAGAAACTATACCTCACTAGATGTGTATAGTTCTTTTACAACCAAAATACAATATAAGTTTTCCCTAAAGATTCACCGTTTAAACATTTAGCAACAAATGATGCACAAACATAGAACTTTATATCCTCATTGTAATCAGGATGTAAAAATGCATTTCTAACTAATATTTCATTTTCATATAAAGTTATCCATATTAACTATAACCACATAAAAAATATTTGTGACTATCATTACCCCATCACCTTAAATTCTTATTTTCCAATAAAAAAATCATTTTTGACAATTAAATAATTGAATAAATGCTATTGAATCTACAAAAGATATACTCTAACCTACTGGCGTTAGACAACAAAAGGCGAATACTTTAGGTTTAAGTCTTATTCGTATTTGAGAAATTTACTAGGTTTACCCATAACTTAAAGAATTAGAAGAGCCTAGAGCCAAAGGACAAGAACCCATATAAAAACTTCGGTTTTTCGGTTAACCGAAAAACCAAGGCACCAAAACCGAACACCAAAATTTTTAAAAATGTAAACCGAAAACCGAACCGAAAAAACCGAAACTATCGGTTCGGTCGGTTTTTTCGGTTCGGTCGGTATTATATCCACCCCTACTATCAGCTATCAAATTGCTCTATCAGGCAAGTCTCCAATTCTCTTATTCTTCTCGTGCTTTTTGTTTTTGTGGAGTTGATTCATGTGTTTCTTTTTTTCAACGCTGATAATTCAATTTTCTGTTAGCATTGTCTCTTAAATAATGAATTTCAAACCATTTTAGAACTGCAAAATTGATTTTTTGTACTAATATTGAGTGAGGACCGAGGATGAATGTACTATGGTGTCTAAAATCTAAAGATTCTTAAGGTTTCTTCACTTAGTTATACTCTGATGAATTCTTCTATTGGTTTTATGAAAATCGAAAATTTAAATGTTAAACAAATTTTTCGAACCAAAACCTTCTATCCCTGATTCGTTTTAGGACTTCATTCGCCAGACTTTGAGAACGTCATCAAAGCATCGATAACTTTTTTAGTATTAGTTTTATCGCCTTCTCTTGGGGGTCTCTTGCTTATGCTTATTGTATGAGGAAGACTACTGAGGTTGAGAAAAACTTATTATCCATCGGTGAGGCTAAGGTACCATAAAGTTATTATTGCAAGCTGCCAAATATTATTGGCTTGAATTTTATTTGAACTTGCTCTTTTTTACTTCCTAATTCATTGAGCCCGGGTTGAGTCGGTTGACCTATAATTTTTCAAATTCTTACATTCTGCTTTCAAAACAAATACTAGACAGACCGAGTTGTGATTTTCTGTGAAAATTCTTTTGTCTCTTTTCTTCTAATTTTGGTCTGGGCAGAAGTTGTGACTTTTGCTGTTTATTGGGGAAGCGCTATAATAGTGCTGGCCTGATCCTGATATAAGTTTACATTAGTTGTATGTTTCAATTAGGTCTGCTCAAGGTTTATTTGATCGAAGTTGTGGTTGTTGTTGCAGTTACATGGAGGAATGTGTCAGAGCGCAAAGCACCTGAAATCACTCTTGCTGAAATAGCGCAAAAGGAACATAGTATTCGGGATAGAACCATGAGAAATTTGAGTTAGTGATTTTTTCAGTTGAAGATTGTAGCAGAAAATGAGCGAGAGTTTTTTTTTTAAGATTTTCATTTGTTATCATGGAGGTTCTTTTGAATAAGCAGTCTCATCTGAATACTGTCCAAAGGTAAGTATCCGTTAACCTTACCTGTTCATATCATGAATAGAGTGTCATATGCATTGCGTTTCATGTGGCAACTATCTTGAGCAGATGATATTTTTTGAGTTTAACATTTTTTTTGCAGCATGATGCTCACAGTTACTTTATAAATTATTCATATTGTAAATGGTTATGTTCAAGTTGCTGGATTCTTATGACATCTCAAGTGAATCTGTATCTAGTAGTTTACTTTTCTGCTTTCATTTGCTTATCTAATGGGGATAGGGAGATGTTATACTTTGCATTGTAAGTTGTTTTTCAAATACATTCTTTAGGCACCTCCCCGTTGCAGCTTTAGAGAAGGAACTGTTAATGATAATAAAAGCAAGATTGTGAAAAATATAGATCTTCATGGAAGACATGTTAGAAATAGTTACACGTTGAATTTCAAGACATTGATAATAGCCGCTTGGTAGATCAATTGCCCTTTAGCATAGGCTATCCGTCAAATATTTTATCTACTGGACCTTATAGTTCTTCCTGCCTATCGATAATTCAATACAGATACTTCAGTTTCAGAGTTCAAAATATTAACATGAGTTTGATACAATGAAGCTCACTATGAGACTCAGTATTTGAGTTGTTGGTAATTTAATTTATCAAGCTTATGACAAAACTATTTATTTATCAATTCGATGAGGATGTGGTTGACTTGCTATTGCACTGAGAAGAAAACAGAGAGGAGCTCAGAAGCACATCATGAGAAGGAGAAGATTGAACTGCCTGCTGAAGAAAAGCAGAATGCTGAATTGCCACCTGAAGATTGATCATTTTACAGGGCGATGAGTTTATGACAACGTCTCTCACCCAATTCACAAAGAACCTGAACGTGAGTTTCTTACAAAACAAGTTAGTTGTATAAGGGAAAAAAAACAAGACTCCATGTACCAAAATTGGAGGACACAACCCAGATACTATTCAAGCCTAAGGATCATTTTTTAATTCTTGATTATTCAATCTTAAATTCTCTTTCTTTTTTGTTTGTCTAATCTTCTGAACAATCACTTTTGTAAGATCTTTTCTTTTCTCTTTATCTTTGTTTATTATGAATAATTCCTACCTCATTGTTTTTCTTTCCTCATTTATTTTCTTTGGTTAGTTCAACATTATGTATGTATTTGTGCGTGTATAGGCTACTTGGCTTGATTTTTCTATGAAAGGTGGAGCTAGGTTTAATGGTTAGATGTAGTTTTCAATATTATGTAGCTTGTACCTTTGTCTTGTGAGTGCAAGGGATAAGACCTGAATTTAATGTCCAGATTGCATTTTGAGGCTGTTCCTTTGGTAATTTTTTTTATGAGTTTTTCTCAGGGACCATGAGTTTATAAATTGCATCTCTCTATTTTAGGTTGCTTATTAGATTATCTACTAAAATATGTTAAGCAAGAAGTGCTCTTCCCCTCTACATGTAATAGCAACTTTAATTGGTTAGGAAAGATTTGTTTTCTTTTATAGACAAATTATTTACTCATGTTTTGAATGATTTTTACATCTGCACCAAGCGCGGATAAATACACTAGTTTAGAAAATAATTGAATGAGATTCGTTTGCTAATTAGTTAATTTAAAGAGTTAGTTACTCATTCTCAAACTACTATAACACTACTATAAATAACTTGAATCCAGTTAGAAATGCAAAGTACATGAGTGGCAGAAGATTAAGACAAGAAACTTGTGAAGAGTCCCCCACCTATATTCAAACAGTTAGCCTGTTTGCATGGATAACGTAGCATACTATGGGAAGAAATATATATATATATATATATATATATATATATATATATATATTACTGTATAAATTTTGTGTCATAGAAGATTAACGTTTATGCAAGCCTAATCATTTGTATACTGTAGGGTAGGAAATATAATTACCCCCATCACATTGTAACTCTAACCTAAGCAAAAACATAGCAGTAATAATGTATACGGTCGAAATCGAGCTCATGGTGCATCCTAACCTCCGATATGGTAAGCCAGGCTCGAGACATGACAATAAAGGACTGAAGATTGACTCCAAGTCCCACCGGGCTAGAACCCGTAGATAAGACGCCTGCCCTCGAGAATATCGAGGCCATGATCCCGGAATCGGTCCTAGCCCCAAACAATTTTGAAGAAACATTGTCAGCATAGCCAACGGAAGACCGAAATATCCGTAACCGGCCGGATATTACGGTGGAAATCTCGGCACGTACCGATAAAGAACCGACAGTCAGCGAATCAAAATTGTTTGTACCTTTTATAGAATTGTACCTAAAGTATGACTCCTCTACTATATAAAGGGGGTATGATAATCCATAAGGTACGTTGTAACACACATTCCAAGGTAATATACCATTATTTTTTATGTTATTAGTTCTTCTGCTTTCGTTCGTCAGTGCTTATTGTTACGAACCCAGATCGAGAGCAAATACCTCACTAAGGCGTAAAATTGTCTTCCTCGTGTAGTTTGATCTTACTTCATCCTTAGTTATTTAATTTGGCTTTGTTTACTGCTTTGTGTCAAATAAATTCGCGTATCCTTAAAACCACTTACGAATTCAATTGTTATCCGATTTTGAGGGTAAACAGTTTGGTGCCCAAGGGCTAAGGATAATAGTGGCTATTTGATACGAATTCTATAACACATACTACTTTACACTTGTTCTTTGGAGTATCTCTAATTTTAGGTTAAAGCTCAAAATGTCAAACTCCCAATCAGCACTTCTACATGTTGGCAATGAGTCCGGTCATCATGGCGAAAATAACAACATAGTGCCCAGTGGCGAGGTACCACCTGTCGATCCCATCGGAATTCCGGTCGCTGGCCCGATTGACGCCAACTCGCATGTGGCCATCAACGCAAATCTGCCTACCGACCCCGAGATTAGCGTACGCGGTGAAGCCCGATCAGCAACCCGAAATACATAAGACATTGGAGGGGACGGGATAAAATTTATGCGTGATCTTCGAAATGTTGCAGGCTAAACAGGCGGCGATAGCATAGTAACAGAACCAAAGTCGCGCGCCGAGCAAAATTGAACCCGAGCCATCCCGAAAAGTCACCCGCAGAAATGAACCGATCACGGAGAGACCGAATGAAAATGAATCGGGGACTAACCCCTTGATCATAAAAATGCTCGAGGAATTGACAAAACGGATAGAATCGGGAGACAAGAAAAATCGAAGCCAATGACAAAAAGGTGGAAACCTACAATTCCAGGGTCGACCAAATCCCTGGAGCACCCCCGATATTGAAGGGCCTGGATTCCAAGAAGTTTGTTCAAAAACCTTTTCCTCCGAGCGCAGCGCCGAAGCCGATCACGAAAAAGTTCCGTATGCCCGAAATTCCTAAGTACAAAGGAATGACCGACCCAAATGAGCATGTGACCTCCTATACATGCGCCATCAAAGGGAACGACTTGGAAGATGACGAGATAGAATCTGTTATACTGAAAAAGTTCGGGGAAACTTTATCCAAAAGAGCTACGATATGGTATCACAACTTACCTCCTAATTCTATTGACTGTTGAGACCAGGAAGTTAGACCTTTTCAAAGTAAAACAGAAGGATAATGAGATGCTCAGAGAGTTCGTGTCCCGGTTTCAAATGGAACGGATGGACCTGCCTCCGGCCGCTGATGATTGGGCCGTTCAGGCTTTCACCCAAGGACTCAACATTCGAAGCTCGTTGGCTTCACAACAGTTGAAACAAAACTTGGTAGAATATCCGGCTGTCACTTGGGCCGATGTCCATAATCGGTATCAATCAAAAATCAGGGTCGAGGACGATCATTTTGGGCCCCTTCTGGGTTAGTGTATCCTGTCAGAACCTTTGATAGAGTTAAGCGAGACATCGATTGTGAACCGAGCTCAAACAGGGATCGGTATCAGCTGTACAATGGGGACCGAAGAAGCAGTGGGTCTAGGCGGAACTCTATGAGAAATGAAAGGAGAAATGACCAAGGTCAAAACAACCGAGGACTCATGAGCAAAAACAGCTTCGACAGGCCCGTCGGGCCAAAAGAAGCACCACGATTATCAGAGTACAACTTCTACGTCGATGCCGTCGCTATCGTATCTGCCATCGGGCGCATCAAAGATACCAAATGTCCTCGACTACAGTCCAATCAAGCCCAAAGGGATCCTAACCTAATGTGCAGATATCACGGCACTCATGGCCACAGAATAGAAGACTGCCGACAATTAAGAGAGGAGGTGGCCAGGATGTTCAACGACGGACATCTCAGAGAGTTCCTGAGTGATCGGGCTAAGAACCACTTCAGGAATAGAGATTCTAATAAACAGACCGAGCAGGAGAAACCTTAGCACGTCATTAAAATGATCATCAGTGGGGTCGACATTCCCCAGGGGCCGATGCTGAAGCGCACCAAAGTATCCATCATAAGGGAAAAATGGACTCGGGATTACGTACCGGAAGGGACCTTGTCTTTCAATGACGAAAACGCTGAGGGGATCGTGCAGCCCCATAACGATCCACTGGTAATATTTGTTCTCATAAATACATATCGAGTTAAGCGTGTGTTAATTGATCCAGGTAGCTCAGCCAACATCATCAGATCGAGGGTCGTGGAACAACTCGGCCTACAAAATCAGATCGTACCTGCGGTCCGAGTCCTGAACGAGTTCAACATGGAATGTGAGACCACTAAAGGAGAGATAATATTACTGGTAAACATTGTCGGAACCGTTAAACCAAGTTCTATGTAATCAAAAGAGATATGAGATACAACGCTTTGTTCGGGAGGCCATGGATTAACAACATAAGAGAAATACCCTCAACATTGCACCAGGTGCTGAAATTCCCAACACCCAGAGGAATCAAAACAGTTTATAGGGAACAACCGACCGCCAAGGAAATGTTCGCGGTCGATGAGGTGATATCGGCATCCACACTCTCGATATAGAAGGGTCAGAATTCGATGGCCAAAGACGAAGCCAAATAGCAATTACCGATACCAGCCTCGACAAAACCGAAGAAACAAGGGGTAGACGAGGCTGACGACTACGGAGTTCCCAGGTCTTTCATATCTCCCAACAATTCCGACGCTAGCAAATCAACGATCGAGGAACTGGAGCAAGTCGTACTAATCGAACACTTTCCCGATCAAAAAGTATATCTAGGCACGGGGTTAAGCTCCGAGCTCAGGAAAAAAACTCATTCAATTTCTTTTAACTAATGAAGATTGTTTCGCTTGGTCCCACCTTGATATGACAGGGATCCCACTAGAAATAACCACTCATAAGCTAATTCTAGACCAAAAGTTCTAGGCAGTCAAGCAGAAGAGGAGACCCCAGTCCGAGGTCAAACATGCTTTCATTAAGGATGAGGTATCTAAACTCTTTAAAATATGGTCCATTCGGGAGGTAAAATACCCGGATTGGTTAGCAAACGTAGCAATAGTCCTTAAAATTGGAATAAATTAAGAATGTGTGTGGACTATAAAGACTTGAATAAGGCATGTCTCAAAGACTCCTTCCCTCTGCCCAACATCAATCGCATGATCGATGCAACGACCGACCACGAGATCCTCAGTTTTCTTGATGCCTATTCCGGATACAACCAGATACGGATGAACTCAGGCGATTAGGAAAAAAACCTCTTTCGCACTAAGTACAGCACTTACTGCTATAACGTGATGCCATTCGGGCTAAAAAATACCGGTGCCACTTACCAATGCCTAGTAAATCGGATGTTCGAGGAACAAATAGGAAAATCAATGGAGGTTTACATTGACGATATGTTGGTTAAGTCCCTGCGAGCAAAGGACCATTTGAAACATTTGCAGGAAACCTTCAACATATTGAAGAAATACAATATGAAGCTGAATTCGGAGAAGTGTGCATTTGGAGTCGGATCCGGTAAATTCCTCAGATTCATGGTATCTAACCGGGGAATTGAGATCAACCCCGATAAGATCAAATCCATCGAATATATCACTGTTGTGGACAATGTGAAGGATGTACAAAGATTCACCTAACGCATAGCCATCCTGGGGCGATTCATCTCGAGGTCTTCCGGCAAGAGCCACCGGTTCTGCTCACTATTGAGAAAGAAGAATAACTTCTCATGGACCTCGGAGTTC